GATAGTCAGGTCCAACTCATACCCACCCACACCCATTCATGTATTGATTCAACCTATTTTTAATACTACACAAGGTCTTAGCTTCTTTGACGGTACTCATAGAGTACCGTGAGGTCAGACGGTCAGTGAACCTAAGGTCACTAGGTCAGTGAGCTTAAGCCGGTAGGAGAATTGGACCTGCCTCACATAGGCCAGTAGGCCTGTTGCAGTGTTCCTTCTTTCTTATGTTCTTATGTTCTTATGTACTCAGGAGTTTGTTCCACTCATCCACAAGTTTATTACCAAACCAGTGCTTTCCTATGTCCTTCCTGAATTTGAATTTTTCCAACTTGAAATCATTGCTGCGAGTCCTGTCTTGGCTGGAAATTTTCAGCACGCTATTTACATCCCCTTTATTTATTTCTGTTTTTCCCCCCTAATTCTACGCCTTTCTAGAGAGTGCAGATTCAGGGCCTTCAGTCTATCCTCATAGGGAAGATTTCTGATACATGGAATCAATTTTGTCATCCTCCTCTGTACGTTTTCCAGAGCATTTATATCCATTCTGTAATATGGTGACCAGAGCTGTGCAGCATAATCTAAATGAGGCCTAACCAAGGATATATAGAGTTGAAGAGTAACCTGAGGATTTCTATTATTTATGCTTCTTGATATGAAGCCAAGAATTCTGTTAGCTTTAGTGCGAACACTTATGCACTCTTCTCTTGGTTTCAGATTACTGCTAACCAGAACTCCTAAATCCTTTCCACAATCAGTAGTATTAAGATCTACACTATTCAGTTTATGAGTGACATGGTTATTGTCCTGTCTAACATTTAGAACTTTGCACTTGTCTATATTAAACTGCATCTGCCACTTCTCCGACCATTGCATCAGTCTATTCAAATCATCCTGGGGTGCTCTAATGTCCTCATTAGAATGAACTGGACGGACTATTTTGGTGTCATCAGCAAATTTGCTTATGTCGCTATTTATTCCTTTATCTAGGTCGTTTATGTAGATTGTGAACACCAAGGGGCCCAACACTGACCCCTGTGGAACACCGCTCGTGACGTGCCCCATTCCGATTTCTCTCCATTTATGCAAACTCTCTGCTGCCTATTTGTCAGCCATACCTCTACCCAGGAAAAAATTTCTCCTCCTATTCCGTGTGACTTAAATTTCCTCAAGTCTCTGATGTGGACCTCTATAGAATGCCTTACTGAAGTCCATATACACAATATCATATTCATTACCGTGATCTACCTCCTCAAACACCAAACTGAAAAAGTTAGTAAATTCGTAAGACAGGAACGCACCTTAGTGGGCTACGAATTGCCTCGGCAATTACTGATTCCATAAATTTTCACACTATGGAGCTTATTGGTTTATAGTTCGAAGCTAAGGACCTGTCACCTGCTTCGTAAATAAGTATTACATTTGCCATTTTCCACTTATCAGGCACTATGCCAGTTTGTAGTGATGTGTTGAAAAGATTAGCCAAATGTTTGTTAAATTCATCTTTACATTCCTTTAACACCCTTGCAAACAGTTCATCAGGACCTGCGGGTTTGTTAGGTTTTAATTTCTCTATTTGTCTGAGGACCATGCCACTAGTTGCTGCAATCGTGCATAGTTTATTATCGTCGTGTTCTACATAATTTATTATTTCTGGAATTTCGCTAGTATTTTCCTGAGTATAAACTAAGAGGAAGTAAGTATTGAAAATTTCACACGTATCCCTATCATTGTCAGTGATGTGACCTGAGTTACAGAAGTCCTTAATCTTACTTTTGGGTTAATCATTGAATCCCTTGCGACCTTAGCCTCATAACCCCCTTTTTGTTTTTCTTATTCCTGTTTTATTTCTCTCTCTACTTGAATATATTGATTTCTTAACTGCCCATCCCCTCTTTTGATACGCCTAAAAATGCGCCTAAAAGATATTTTAATGTATTGTTCATCCACACAGATACACACACACACACACACACACACACACACACACACACACACACACACACACACACACACACACACACACACACACACAGTCTAGGGGGCCAGAGACTACAAACTTCACTGAAGAAAAAAGGTCTTGGGGTGAGTATAACACCAGGCACATCTGAAGCGCACATCAACCAAATAACTGCTGCAGCATATGGGCGCCTAGCAAACCTAAAAACAGCATATCGATATTTTAATAAGGAATCGTTCAGGACTCTGTACACCGTGTACGTTAGGCCTATATTGAAGTATGCGGCACCGGATTGGAACCCACACCTAGCCAGGCACGTAAAGAAACTATAGAAAGTGCAAAGGTTTGCAACATGACTAGCCCCAGAGCTAAGGGGTGTGTCCTACGAGGAGAGGTTAAGGGAAATCGACCTGACGACCTGAAGGACAGGAGAGATAAGAGGGACATGATAACCACATATAAAATACTGAGAGGAATTGACAAGGTGGACAAAGACGGAATATTCCAGAGATGGGACACAGCATCAAGGGGACACAGTTGGAAGTTGAAGACTCAGATGAATGAGAGGGATGTTAGGAAGTACTTCTTCAGTCACAGGGTGGTCAGGAAGCTGTATAGTTTGGGAAGCAATTTAGTCGAGGCAGGATCCATTCATAACTATAAACAGAGGTATGATAAAGCTCACGGTGCAGGGAGAGTGACCCAGTAGCGGCCAGTGAAGACACGAGGCCAGGAACTATGACTCGGCCCCTGCAACCACAGCTAGGTGAGAACACACACACACACACACACACACAAGGAGACAGACACGAGGTATTAAACTGCAGAGCTGTGTCACTAACGTTTATAGTATGCAAAGTGAAAGAGAACATCATCAGGTGGAGAGTAGTAGAGCACCTGGAAAGACACAAACACTGTTTTAGGGAAGGTAAATCTTGTGCCACAAACCTACTGGAGATTTATAACAAGGTGATAGAAGTAAGACAAGAGAGAGAGGGATGGATAGACTGCATTTTCGTGGACTGCAAGAAGGCCTTCGACACAGTTCCTCACAAGAGGTCAAGCACACATAACAGGAAAGGCACTGCAATGGATCAGAGAATATCTGACATAGAAGCAACAACGAGTCATGGTACGTGAAGAGGTGATCCACAAGGATCAATCCTAGGACCTGTGCTGTTTTTGGTATATGTGAATTGCAATACGGAAGGGATGGACTCAGAAGTGTCCTTGTCTGCAGATGATGTGAAGTTAATGAGGAGAATCATATCAGTCGAGGATCAGGCAGGACTACAAAGAGACCTGGACAGTGTACAAGCCTGGTCCAGCAACAGGCTCCTTGAATTTAACCCAGCCAGGTGCAGAGTCATGAAGATCGGGGAAGGGCAAAGAAGACAGCAGACAGAGTGTAGTTTAGGTGGAAGAATTTACAATGAAGACAGAGTGGCTCCCAGGAAACGAAGACGGTTGGCAGTAAGTGCTGGACACACTACACACAACCTAGGTGTAGGTAAATAAACTGCTTGTCGAAGTAGATAGATTGTGAGCTCAGATAACATCTCTCCTTGGGTCCTGCGGGAGGAAGGAGATGCACTGTGTGCCAAGAACAACAATCTTCAACAAATCTATCAAAACAGGGCAACTGCCTTAGGTGTGTATGAGAGTAAACGTAGTCACAATTTTTAAGAGAGGTGACAATCAGGCAGCATTAAACAATAGACCGGTTTCACTGACATGTGTAGTGTGTAAAGTCATGGAGAAAAGTGGTGGGCACCTAGAAAGGAATGGGATCATATATGAGAGCAACATGGCATGAAGGAAGGAAAATTCTGCATCACTAACCTAGTGGAGTATTTCGACAAGATAACAGATAAGGAAAGGAGAGAGGGATGAGTAGATTGAATTTTCTTGAACTGTAAGTAGGCGTTTTATAAAGAAACTGGTTGAAAAGCTTGAGGATTAGGCAGGAACAACGGGGAAGGAACTGCAATGAATCAGGGAATAACTGACAAAAAGGAAACATCATGTGTTAGTATGTAACGAGGTGTCACAGTGGGTGTATATGTCGAGTGGGCTCCAAATGTGTCAATCCTTGGCCCAGTGCTGTTTCTTGTATATGTTCAACCGTGATCCTGCTCTCCATCTTACTCTTAATTCTTTCAGTTATAACTATACCATACACTGTACAAGGAATACTCAACACATTTATTCCCCTATAATTCGCATACTCTCTTTAGTCACCTTTGCTTTTATACAAGGGATCTACACATGGTCTCTGCCAGTCCCTGGGTATCTCCTCTCATTCATTCATTTATTAAATAAAAGCAACAACCATTCGAAAACTATATCTCCAACTGCTATTAACATTTCTGTATTGATACCATCAATCCCAGCTGCTTTACCGCCTTTCATTCTACCCACTGTATCACGCACCTCCTCACATTCACATCTGTCTCTTTCTCACTCCTACAAGATGTTATACCTCCCTGCCCAATGCATGAAATCACAGCTTCCATATCTTGATCAACATTTAATAATTCCTCAAAATATTCCACTCATCTTCTCGATACCTCCATCTCTCCATCCAATAACTCTCCAGTTTTATTTTAAACTTTCAAATCCATTCATTCCCTAAGCTTTCTCTGCTTATTAATCACACACTAAAACTTTTTCTTATTCTCAGCAAAATATTCTGAACGCATCTCATCCACTATCTCATTTGCTCTCCTTTTAAATTTCTTCACCACTCTATTTACCTCTCTTTTTCTGTCCATTTACTCTTCCCTCCTTATATCACTTCTACTTTGCAGAAACCTCTCATATGCTAACTTTTTCTCACTACTTTCTTTACCTTATTATTCCTCTTCTTTTCTTCCGCATCCACCCTCCTATATGCACAAACTTCTGTTGAACACTCTAACTCAACATTCTTAAATCTAGCCCACACCTCTTCACCCTCACTGCCTATACTCTCACTGCCCATCTTTCTGTAACCTTTCACCTCTCTCTTATTTTCTGATGCCATTCTCCTGGTGCCCCAACTATGGTGAAGGAAAGGTTTTGGGTGGAGCGAGTGGAAGGGGACTATGTTCCATGTGGGGACTGTTCTGCGTGGGGCCTATGTTCGCTGTGGGGACTATGTTCCCGTGGGGACTATGTTCCGCGTGGGGACTATGTTTCCCGTGAGGACGATGTTCCTTGTGGGGACTATGTTCCCTGTGGGGACTATGTTTTGCGTGGGGACTATGTTCCCTGTGGGGACTATGTTCCCTGTGGGGACTATGTTTCCCGTGAGGACCATGTTCCCCGTGGGGACTATGTTCCGCGTGGGGACTATGTTCCCCGTGGGGACTGTGTTCCCTGTGGGGACTATGTTCCGCGTGGGGACTATGTTCCCCGTGAGGACGATGTTCCCTGTGGGGACTATCTTCCCCATGGGGACTATGTTCCGCGTGGGGACTATGTTCCCCGTGAGGACGATGTTCCCTGTGGGGACTATGTTCCCCGTGGGGACTATGTTCCTCATAGTGACTACGTTTCCCGAGGGGAATATGTTCCCCTTGGGGACTATGTTCCCCATGGGAACTATGATCCCCGTGGGGACTATGTTCCTCATAGTGACTACGTTTCCCGTGGGGGCTATGTTCGCTATGGGGACTATGTTCCCTGTGGGGACTACGTTCCCTGTATGGACTACGTTCCCCGTGGGGACTATATTCCCCCTGGGGACTTAATGTCATTAATAAAGAAGAAGTCTTGTTACAGTACTTAGAGTTGCGGTTCAAGTCCAGAACGCTGCGGAAGATGGCAACAGGAATCCAGTTAGTGGCGTCACTGGTGTTCATGGGTATATGTGTGTATGCTCCAACACTGGCTCTCTCCTCAGTCACCAGCCTCCCCACCTGGGCCTCCATCATCTCAGTGGGACTTATCTGTTCCTTCTACATCACTATAGTAAGTAAAGCATGTTAACCATTAACTAATGTATGTATGTATGTCAGGTCACGTGGTAGCCCGTGGCCTGGTGGCAAAAGCTCTCTCTTCACATGCTGAGGATCCAGGATTGATTCCTGGCACGAGTGGAAACATTGGACGTGTTTAATTACACCGATTGTCCATGTTCACCCATCAGTAAAAATAGGTACCTGGGTGTTAGTCGACTGTTGTGGGTCGCATCCTGGGACAAAACTGACCTAATTTCCTTGAAATGCTCATCATAACAAGTGGCATTCTTTGTAGTAGTATGTCAATGATGTCAGCTATGGTCTGTATACCTTGTACATATACTTATAGAAATAGAGATATTATTATTATTATTATTATTATTATTATTATTATTATATATATTATATTATTATTATTATTAATAATATTAATTATTTATTATTATTATATTACATTATTATTATTATTATTATTATTATTATTATTATTATTAATTTATTATTAATAATAATAATACATATTATTATTATATTATTATTATTATTATTATTATATATTATTATTTTATTTTATTATTATTTTTAATAATTATACATATTATTATTACTATTTTATATATTATTAATTGATTATTAGTATATTAATTATTATTATAGTTAATATGGTATAGCTAGTATTATTCATAATTAAGTATTATTTACTGTTAGTAAAATGGGATAACCTGTGTACCTTCACATGAAACTAAGATTTTTTTCTTTACCAGTCACCAAGGTAACTTGTGTCTTACGTTCGTCAATGATAAACTGTAGTCTGGTGTGCTTAGTGCTCGCGTGCCGTGCTCTACCGTGCTCCGCCGTGCCGTGCTCTACCGTGCTCCGCCGTGCCGTGCTCTACCGTGCTCTACCGTGCTCCGCCGTGCCGTGCTCTACCGTGCTCCGCCGTGCCGTGCTCTACCGTGCTCCCGTGCACGTGCTCTACGTGCCGTGCCGTCTCTACCGTGCTCCGCCGTGCCGTGCTCTACTACGTGCTCCGCCGTGCCGTGCTCTACCGTGCTCCGCCGTGCCGTGCTCTACCGTGCTCCGCCGTGCCGTGCTCTACCGTGCTCCGCCGTGCCGTGCTCTAACCGTGCTCCGCCGTGCCGTGCTCTACCGTGCTCCGCCGTGCCGTGCTCTACCGTGCTTACCGTCTCCGTGCCGTGCTCTACCGTGCTCCCGCCGTGCCGTGCTCTACCGTGCTCCGCCGTGCCGTGCTCTACCGTGCTCCGCCGTGCCGTGCTCTACCGTGCTCCGCCGTGCCGTGCTCTACCGTGCTCCGCCGTGCCGTGCTCTACCGTGCTCCGCCGTGCCGTGCTCTACCGTGCTCCGCCGTGCCGTGCTCCGCCGTGCCGTGCTCTACCGTGCTCCGCCGTGCCGTGCTCTACCGTGCTCCGCCGTGCCGTGCTCTACCGTGCTCCGCCGTACCGTGCTCTACCGTGCTCCGCCGTGCTCCGCCGTGCCGGGCTCTACCGTGCTCCGCCGTGCCGTGCTCTACCGTGCTCCGCCGTGCCGTTACTCACCGTGCTCCGCCGAGCCGTGCTCTACCGTGCTCCGCCGTGCCGTGCTCTACCGTACTCCTCTGTGCCGTGCTCTACCGTGCTCCGCCGTGCCGTGCTCTACCGTGCTCCGCCGTGCCGTGCTGTACCGTGCTCCGCCGTACCGTGCTCTACCGTGCTCCGCCGTGCCGTGCTCTATCGTGCTCCGCCGTGCCGTGCTCTACCGTGCTCTACCGTGCTCCGCCGTGATGTGCTCTACCGTGCTCCGCCGTGCCGTGCTCTACCGTGCTCCGCCGTGCCGTGCTCTACCATGCTCCGCCGTGCCGTGCTCCGCCGTGCTCCGCCGTGCCGTGCTCTACCGTGCTCCGCCGTGCCGTGCTCTACCGTGCTCCGCCGTGCCGTGCTCTACCGTGCTCCGCCGTGCCGTGCTCTACCGTGCTCCGCCGTTCCGTGCTCTACCGTACTCCTCTGTGCCGTGCTCTACCGTGCTCCGCCGTGCCGTGCTCTACCGTGCTCCGCCGTGCCGTGCTGTACCGTGCTCCGCCGTGCCGTGCTCTACCGTGCTCCGCCGTGCCGTGCTCTACCGTACTCCTCCGTGCCGTGCTCTACCGTGCTCCGCCGTGCCGTGCTCCTCCGTGCCGTGCTCTACCGTACTCCTCCGTGCCGTGCTCTACCGTGCTCCGCCGTGCCGTGCTCCTCCGTGCCGTGCTCTACCGTACTCCTCCGTGCCGTGCTCTACCGTGCTCCGCCGTGCCGTGCTCCTCCTTGCCGTGCTCCTCCTTGCCGTGCTCCGCCGTGCCGTGCTCTACCTTGCTCCGCCGTGCCGTGCTCTACCGTGCTCCGCCGTGCCGTGCTCTACCGTGCTCCGCCGTGCCGTGCTCTACCGTGCTCCGCCGTGCCGTGCTCTACCGTGCTCCGCCGTGCCGTGCTCTACCGTGCTCCGCCGTGCCGTGCTCTACCGTGCTCCGCCGTGCCGTGCTTTACCGTGCTTCGCCGTGCCGTGCTCTACCGTGTTCCGCCGTGCCGTGCTCTACCGTGCTCCGCCGTGCCGTGGTCTACCGTGCTCCGCCGTGCCGTGGTCTACCGTGCTCCGCCGTGCCGTGCTCCGCCGTGCTCAGTGTTTTTCGTGATTTTCACTGTACCAGTGAACTTATAAGGTGCATCCCCCCAGCACTTGGAACTAAACTAGCAGAAAACCGTATTATACACTGAGTCAAGAAAAAGAGAATTAGTGTAAAATAACATAGCAGAGTCATACTCCCAGAAGGTAACTATAGGCCTAGCGTGACGAGTGTCAATAACAAAACATTAGAACAAATCTGTCAGAGGGAAGAAAGTCTCCCTAATAATAGAGTGTAGACATAGTGTTGTAGTTTATATCATAGTGGTACCCAAGTATATAGATAAGATAATAAACGCTAAGGTGCAAAATTAAGCCTGAAGTGTTAGGCCTAATGAGATTCATGTTATAAACAGTTGGCAGCAGTCGCCAGGATCTACCACGCAGGTCACCTCATATTAATAATCTTCCTAAACCTGCTAATGTACCTGACCTAAAATCTTGTGATACCATTGCGTAAAAAGATTCCTATTGAAATACGAATAGGTGCACAATCTTGAGGAAATACGTAAAGTGTAAATCTTGGGAGAAATACGATAAATAGTGTCGAGTTGTGAGCTGTCAGTAAAGTTGTGAGCTGTCAGTAAAGTTGTGAGCTGTCAGTAAAGTTGTGAGCTGTCAGTAAAGTTGTGAGCTGTCAGTAAAGTATACAACAACATAAGACCATTTATCATCCAGAAACCTTTCGCCAGTGTTGCCGTAGCTAATAACAGCAACGTATTATTTATTACTTAGTGTGGTGCAGTTACCAACATTAGAAATTTCTTCGTTTTGAAATACGAGTCGTATACAGTTTGTGGACGTACATAAATCTTGTAGTTAGCAGCGGTCGCAATATACACAATGACAAGCAAATATTCCTCCAGTAATCTTCATCAGTCAATAATAGTGAAAAGAAAAATATAGAAAAGAAAAATATAGAAAAGCTAAATACAGTGATCTGTAAGTGCCCAGAACTTCAGGCGGCAAAAAAAAAAAAAAAAGCTGCCAGAGGTCACTGGCAGCTCGTTATAGTAAGTGTCAGAAGCCACCGGTTCCCCAACACGCAAGTTACACTTTTTTGTATCAAACTGAACATTATTACTCTGTTAAATAATATTCCGGTGGTCCTTTCACGAGCTAGCTCAAAAATCTCTGACCGGATTCATTAAAATGATCTACTGACTGGATTTTGTTCGGATTCGTCCAAGAAATAAGTGACCCAATGACCGGATTCAAAGCTGAAAGAGTTAGGCGCCCTTAACATCCGAAAGGATCCATTGAAGAAAATAAGGTATCCTCTGACCAGATTCATAAGCTGAGGGGGTTTTAGGTGGCCTTATCAAACACCCAAGCAATAACTACTACAGTGATAATTTTGTCCCAAACAAATACACATACAAATAAAATAGATACAATACAAACAGACAGATTTCCATTTTAAGGAAGCTATTCGAGGAATTATTATTAATTTCTATTAACACATCGCCCGATTCCCACCAAGGCAGGGTGGCCCGAAAAAGAAAACTTTCATCATTCACTCCATCACTGTCTTGCCAGAAGGGTGCTTTAGACTACAGTTTATAAAACTGCAACATTAACACCCCTCCTTCAGAGTGCAGGCACTGTACTTCCCATCTCCAGGACTCAAGTTCGGCCTGCCAGTTTCCCTGAATTCCTTCATAAATGTTACTTTGCTCAACTCAAAAGCACGTCAAGTATAAAAAACCATTTGTCTCCATTCACTCATATCAAATACGCTCACGCATGCTTACTGGAAGTCCAAGCCCCTCGCACACAAAACCTCTTTTACCCCCTCCCTCCAACCCTTCCTCGGCCGACCCCTACCCCGCCTTCCCTCCACTACAGATTTATACACTCTCGAAATCATTCTGTTTTGTTTCATTCTCTCTACATGTCCGGACCACCTCAACAACCCCTCCTCAGCCCTCTGGTTAATAGTTTTGGTAATCCCACACCTCCTAATCTCCAAACTACGAATTCTCTGCATTATATTCGCACCATACATTGACCTCAGCCTCCTCCTCGTTGCAATATTCATCACCCATGCTTCACATCCATACAAGAGTGTTGGTACAACTATACTAGCACAGTGTCATCAGCAAAAAGCAACTGTGACAACTCCCACTTTGTGTTAGATTATTTATCTTTTAACTCCACACCTCTTGCCCAGACCCTCACATTCACTTCTCTTACAACCCCATCTATAAATATACTGAACAACCACGGTGACATCACACATCCTTGTCAAGGCCTACTTTTACTGGAAAATAATCTCCCTCTCTCCTACATACTCTAACCTGAGCCTCACTATCCTCATAAAAACTCTTCACTGCTTTCAGTAACCTACCTCCTACA